TGCAGTACTGCACCCTAACCACTGCGCCACCTCGGCTCTAGCAAAGATAGCAGTGTTCCAATATCCCAGGGGTTGCCACAAAGAAGAGGTAGTCAAACTGTTCTCCGGGGCGCCTGAGGGTGGAATGGGAAGCAATGGATGGGGGCTGGTCAGGGAGAGGAGAGACTTAGACCTGAGGAGAGGTTTCCTGACGCTTGGAACAATTGATAAGTGGAGCAGCTTGTCTCCAGGGGTTGTGAATGCCCTGGCACTGGAAGTCTTTAAGAGGATGTTGGATAGCCACTTGTCTGAAACGGTATGGGGTTTCCTGCCTGGGCAGGGGGTTGGACTAGAGGATCTCCAAGGTCCCTTCCAACTCTGCTATTGCATTTTATTGTATTACCTTAACAAGAAGGAAAACTTCATAATTAGACTTCTAAAAATCTATAAATATATGTGGCATGGAGTACAGATGCTGAAATATAGATTATGGCATTGGTTAGCACATTGAACTAGGTGAGAGAGAAATGCCCCTTTAAAGATTTATAAACAGTGCAGTTCATAAAGCAGAGATAATCCATGGGCATGCTATGACCTGCCCATTAATATCCCCAAAGGGGGTGGTGGTGAAAAAAAGAACCGTTTGTTTGGACACAGGAACAAAGACAGACATTTGAAATTTTAAAGTAAGCATTGTCTCAACTTACCAACCTTGAGAAATCTTTCAATTTGTATGTGGAGTAATACAACACTTGGAGTCCTGACTCCAGAAAATGGAAGTGGCAACACCCTGCAGCTTAGCAAAAGGGAGGTTACCTCATTGCCTTAAAATCCTGACCGCAAACTGCTCTTCTGATCAAGAAAACTAATAAATTGACTTTTAGACAGCCAATTACTCTATTTACTAGTCATGCAATTCATGGAGTATTAGATACAAAGAGCATGTGTGCTCAAGTAAACCCAAGGCAAGGACCTAGACTCCCCCCGGAAGTCAACCCAAAGGATATTATCCCATTATGTCATTAGTTATTGATTTCACAGACATGCCCAAGTGTGGGCTATATAAGGCAATGTGAGTCATAAATGGGTGAATGCATTGCCACTGGCACTTTNTCAGACTTGGGCTTCCAAGTGGCAGATTCAACTATTTTAAAACCTTTTTCCTTAAGTATCTTTAACATGATATTGTAAAAAGTAGAAGAAATTTATTAAAATAAAAAGAGTTTTAATTTAAGGCAAAAAAGTTAAAGTTGTAAAGGGAAATAGAGAAAAAAAGATCCCTTCACCTCAAGCAGAAAAAACGGAAACATTGCAATCACTCAATCCACAAAAGATTGTTACAGGCAAGAGCAAAAAACTTTCCAAGGCAGTCCAATAGGGATTAAATACGCCGCTTTGTTCTTGCTTAAGGGACTAATTTAGCTTAAGAAAAGAGTTTCTTAGGGCAATCTTTTAAAAGAAAAGAAAAAAACCCTCACCAGATAGAAACACTTTCATTTCTCTCTTTCTGGAGCCGTCTCCAACTATGTCAGCCGGGGGGGCTGCCTGCTGCCTGTTGGAAGCGCTTCCCTTGGGTCGATCAGGGACTTT